TTGGAATTTAGAATGCGCAATAATATAAACTGATAAAAAAATTAAATATAAATTACTACGACCATATGAAATTGGAATTTAGAATGCGCAATAATATAAATGGAAGTATTAATCTGAATTACCAAAAGTTGACACTTACACTTATGATATTAAAAAAAATAAAAAAATCTATATTTATAAAACACCAAAATTACAGTCACGAACGAACCGTGAACGTGTCAGTGTGCACAATTTACCTTGAACCTAAAAATTCACTTTAATTCTTCTCCATGTGCTTATGTTGGATTTGTTTTTTATTTAATGGAGACGAGATCGCCCTCACGTTTCTTGATAAATATGATCGACTCTGAAATTAAATAATTTATTACTATTATTCTTTCTTTATTTTATTTCCTTAGTTGTTTAATTATTAAGGGTAATTAAATAAATATCTTGCAGCTTGTTTAGGCAAGAAAAAAATAGAACAAGTAAAACGATATATTATCTGTCGAAAGAGCAAACGACGGTGGTTGATTTGATAATTTTATCTGATATATTGAAAGTTCTTTACGAGAGAGTATCTCGTATTTCTCGTTCTTACTCACGTTCTACATCAGTATTGTACTGATAATCCATTGGGATGCTCTAATTTCTTATGGAATAAAGACATTCTAAGAATTTTACATCAGTATTGTAACCGATTATCTATTGGGATGCTCTAATTTTTTTTTCCCAAAACGATAGATAATATTATAAATCAAAATGCACAAATGTGCGAATACACAGCAGCCAACGGCTGACTACACAACAGCCAACAACAAAAAAAGTAGAAGGACAGGTCAGAAGACCGCCTAGAATCCCGACTAGCAACACTAGAATAAAAATACTCGCAACTAACTAACCAACTACACGAAACACCTAACACCAACAAAAACTAAAATAACTAAAAAGTTCCCAACAAGAGAATGTCCGAGTGTAGGATCCCAACAGGATAATAAGTTTTACACCGGTCTCACTAAGATCAAATGGTTCGAACCAAAAAAACAAGGCCAAATAACAATACAAACACATACTCAAAACACAAACTTACGACAAAACAAAACAATAAAAACACTAACTAAGCAAAAAGCCCTTCCACAGTAGCCCTAACAACCAGAGAACAG